ATATATATATATATATATATATATATATATATATATATATATAGAGAGAGAGAGAGAGAGAGAGAGAGAGAGACTGGGGTTCATACGAGAAGAGTAACCGAATAAGAGAACATAAAAACAGTCGAATCACATGTGATTTTACACTAAAATCACATGTGATTCACACGACTCTAGCCATGGGTTAGGTCGTCTGCTCACTCTTGCATTGACTGTGATCCGTAATCGCATGTAAAACATATGTGATTTGGCTGTTTTCTTGTTCTCTTATAAATAGGCGGCAAACAAGTGCATATGTTAATCAATTCATTAGTTTAGATGTGAATCAATTAATTAATTCATATGTGAATCAATTAGTTTATTCATATGTGAATTAGTTAAATAGTTCATATGTAAATTATATGGTTCACATATAAACATATAGCTTACATGTGAATCACATTATTCACAGGGTTCACATATGCACTTGTTTTGTTTCCTATTTTTAAAAATTATGAAACTACCTCTCTATCTTTCATATACCACGCGAGAAATTATCCGGTGCTTCACAGTTGAAGCCGCAAATCTTGACCAAATGAAGAGTTATAATCACTTCTCTACTCCTCAAATAGTGTGTTATTAAAAAGAGTAAAAATCAATTTTAATCCCTAAATTCACAATTTTCAATGGATATCGTAACTTTAAAAACTTATATTTTAGTATGTTAACATTTTTTATCAAGTCAGGGGTATTTTAGTCACTCATTTATTTTAGTCCAATTAAATGAGGAGTATTTTAGTTGTTTCGTAATTTAACACTAGATCTCATATTTTAATATATATTATTAAAAATAAATAAGTAAAAAATTAAAACCCAACCCTACCATCAAATAGAGAAGTGAGAACCTAAATCAAAGCTTGACAATTCCTATGTAATTTTTCGGTCTTTTATTATTTAAAACATGAGGCAAATGGATGTGAGACCAACTTGTTTTTGTAAGACTCGTGAGATTACTTTTTTACACTTGAAACTTCATAGCAAAACGTTGTAAGTTAAAAAAACGAACCAACATAGCAAAAAAACACTGTGAATGTTACCTTCACAACAAAAACATTGTGAAAGTTACCTTCATAGTGTTTTGCTGTGAAGCTTCAAGTGTAAAAAATGGTCTCATGGGTCCTACGAAAACATGTTGGTCTCACGTATCCCAAGTTTGAGATAGATTGTTAATTTTTTTATACATTTTTTGAAAAATGTTTAAAATACTAAAACACTCCTCATTTAATAAAACTTGACGGACGTTAAGATGAAGTACCAAAACTGTTGGCAATTGACAAACGTAAGGGATCAATCTGAGTTTTTGAAGTTTATGGAAGATATTAGTTGAAAATTACAAATGTTAGGGACCAAAATTAAACATTACTCTGTTAGAAATCTATATAATCATAATTAAATAAGGATATAACAAAAATATTCTTTTTTAGTAAAAGAAATGATGTAATCGGTTCAAGAAGAATCAATATTTACATTAAGCATGAGAATTGGTCGCGATTCGTTAGGAAACCCCGTTCATCCGCCCCGGTCGGAGACAGAGATTCCCCATTAAACCAGGTCTTGGGGACGGGCATCACACTCCCCACCCCGTACCCATATTCGTTTCCCGTTGAGGATCCCCATTCCCCGTTGGCGACGAGGATGTGGATGTCATCAAATTCCTCGGTTTTTTTTGGGACGGGGACAAAGATGGGGGATCGGGGTCCCCGCCCCATAACCATACCTAATTTACACCATCTTTTGCATTAAAACAGTGTAATGAGTCGGAAATGGTTTTAGTACAGAACGTTATGCATCACCACTTGAATATTGTATCGTCTTCACGACCAGTGTCTCCTGCAACTACATCGTCACCCCCCGTCAAGTGAATAAAACGATCCAACCTGAAGATTCTCGGTTTTCAAGTTGAATCGATGTCGAATTATGTGGTGAAATACATAGTAACAGAAGTAATCTCACAATCATAATAAGAATCAAACCATGTTACAACTAAAAAAAATTGTGCAAACAACACATGCATCACATACTTGTACAATCCCACTAATTCACTAAATAATGTTTTTGATAAACAATGTACAACCATGTGAAGCATAGCTCAAAACCCTAACCCAGCCGCGCCGACGCCAAATGCAACCCCGCTCAGCCGCTTCGACTTCCTGTTTTCCCAAACACAACTCTCCGGTAGTAGCTTAGCCGCCGCCGTTTTCATCGGCTCCGACTTGCACCTTGTCAGCACAAACGGCTCGTACCCCATCGCATCCGCTAGCTTCTGCTCTAACATAGCCGCCATGGACGGTGGCGCCGGAAATGAACACGACGACCGTGCCGGATTCTGTAGCACCGGCGCGTATCCACCGTCGGCCACCCTCATCAAATCATAATCAGTAGTAGTAGTAGCACTAACAGTAACACTAACCCTTGACTCATCTCCACCTTCGGATTTCACCGCTGGCGGCGGCAGCGGCGGCGGCGGCGGTTTTCTCTTGTTGGATTGGCGTTTGATGAAATCTGTACTGCAAACCCATGTCTCCTTTGATACCTCCATTGATAACTTGGGTTCATACATCATCATCAACAAGCATTCCGGCAACACTTCTTCTCTCTCCTCCTTCACATCGCTTTCTCCCTCTAAAACTCCATTGTTAACCATTTCTTCTTCATGGGTTTCAGAGATCTCTGCAGTTTCAGTCACCATTGTCGACACCTCTTCAACCTCTTCATCTTCTTCAAGAGCTTCCTCCTCTTCAACCTCTTCTTCTTCAAGAGCTTCCTCCATTTCAGAATCAACTTCATGTTCTCGAATCTCATCATCTTGATTCACAACTTCTTCAAATAAAAACCCCAGATACATACTTTCTTCTTCTCTTTGATCTTGATCTTCAACAACTTCATCTTGTTGCACTTCTTGTTGCAGATTTTCTTGAAGGTTTTCTTGATTGTGTTGTTGTAGATCATCAAGTTCTTCATTTTCTTGATCTTTTTGAACCAAACCCATGATTTGTCGATGCTCCATTTCAAGATCTTGTTGAGATTCCTTCAAATCAACAATGGGTTCTTGATCTTCGACAAGTTGTTCATCAATGGTGGGTGCCCAAGATCGAGTTGTGAGAGCTTCCATTTTCATGGGATCAGATCTACATCTCATCAGCAACAAAGCATTCTTTGGTGGTATGCAAATACTCATTCTTGATTCGTCTTTGTGCCCTTCAATTCGATCATTTATTATCTCCAAATCTTCAAAAACATGTCTTCTTGGTTTCTTAAAGCTCTCTTCTTCTTCTTCATCATCTTCTTCCACAACCAGCTCAATATCTCTCTCTCCGCCACCATCGCCGTCCTGCACCGCCACCAACCACCGTGCAAACACCGCACCACAAGAACTCCGATCATTTTCAGCTGCCACCATTTTCTCTTCTTTCTCTCTTTCCGTCCGGCAAGGAAACAAGCAGCTGAACTCCGATCCGAATGCTCTTAAAGCGTCACAAATCGTCACCGGCAAATGAACCCATTTCTGATTACTCCTCTGCTCCGTCACCGGCGCCGGCCAGCTTTCTTGATGGTGTTCTAGTTTTCTGAAGCTAACTTCGCCGGAGCTATGTCTTCTTGACAAAGTTCTGAGCTTTTTTGCTTGTTTTTTCTTGGTTTTAACTCTAACTTGACCAATGCAGGTGACTTTAGGGGAAGAGGGTTCTGGGTTTTCGAAACTACCTCTCTTTTTAGCGGTGGTTGGGAACATTGCCGGCGACGCGCCGCCTTTTATGCTGCCGCTGTTTCTGAGTCGACGGCTGAGGGAGGTGGAGAGGTTGTTTGGTGGGTCTCGTCCTCCGCCGCCACCGGCGGCTCGACCTGGGCTTAAGATTGATTTGGATGAGATCTTCATTGTGGTGGTTGATCAGAGTGGTTCATGGTGATGGTGGGTTTGCAGATAGGAGAAAATGGTGTTAAATGTAGAAGATGACGAGACGAAGGTTGTCTTTTGCAGGGTGGACTGTAAGACCACGCACCGTGAAAAGACCAAACTACCCTTGAGGTTTTCATATTGACAGCTGGCTTTTATATTCTGTCCACGTCACTCAAAAAAATTCAGTGTTAACATGGTGTTAAAGAAACAATCTCCTAATCGTTAAAAGGTGAATCTTGTTTGGTAAAAAGAAAATTGTTTTTTAATGGTTCTAAAATCATTTGAATGATTATGCATCGTGGACATTCTTTAACCATTCAGCGTCCTAATTTCATTGTAAATAATTATCAAATAATTATACTTCATTTTGCACTATATCATGAGAGTCTCTTAATCATTCTGATCACTATCATTTTGCACCAAACCATTCAGTAACTACTAAACAACCCCTTAATCATCGATGGACAAAAATATTAGAGGTTTTCTTTTTCATATTTATCTTGACCGGAATGGGGTCTGTATATTTGACCAAACGAGTTATTATATCGACAACCCTAATTGATTCTACACGTAATCTGTCGTTAACGACACCAATGTATGAGAGCACTTTCATGACTCGTTTAGATGGTGAGGCTCGTGTCTGTCTTGTATTTGAATTAACTCATCCCTCATTTATCAGCTGAGCTAATGTTTAGAGACGGATTTTTGTACATTAAAGCATTTTTAGTAATTATGTTATAATTTATTTAAAAATAAAATATCAAAAGTTATTTTTTTTAAATAAATTATATTATACTTTTAACAGATACTTTAGAGAAGTTGTAGAACCCGAAAAAGTTTAAAAAACTTCAATATTTTTACGATGAAAGTGGATAATATGGTAAGTTTTTTAAGTTATCGAAACTCACTAGCGGCTATGTGTACTGCTATTTAAGTTGATGAACTCTAATTTTGCTGTCGTATACGTTTAAATCAGATATTTTTTTTATAAAAAAATAAAATAAGAGTTACTGACATTGCTAGTGGAATTGAACTGCTTTTTTTAACAATGGGTTTATGGGTCAGTTTGTGCACACCTCGACTAATCTCAAGGGCCATAAAAAACAGTTAAGAAAAATCCAAGTGGTCTTGCAGGATTTGAACCAGTAACCTTTGAAAAAACTATTAGGTCTGTGATGATTTGGTTCATCGTCATATATACATTGAAATTGGAAAAAAAAATTAGAGCATCTTTAACATATATATGCTGTATTTTCTCTTTTTTCTTCTAAATTCTGATCCTCTCATTTTCTGTTTTTTTTTTTGTAACGTTAATTCAACTTTTCTACGTCTATTAAAGAAGCAAATGTTTTGTTCGAACAACTTTTCTATCGAGTAATTCGTTCTTGAACGTTTCTTACCCAGATAGGCATCCTCATTGGTCGTGTACTTGGCAGGTATTTTGCTTATAGTTGGGATCTAATAAGAGATTCAAGTATACAATTGCTTACGACATCGTGTCTTATATGTTTATAACCTCTTTACCCGATAAGAAAGGGCAATATATAATCAAAGAAGGGGAAAACTGCACACACATACATATGTTCGTGTGTGTGTGTGTATGTAAGTATATAGAGGTAAGATCTTTTGTTAACCAATTAAAACGTGTGAACTTTACAAACATCAATGAATCAATAGAAAACAATATATACATTTGGTTGATGCACATAATAAATTTATATAATGAGGGTAAAAATGTAATTTTTTATTTGATCTCTCTTTTAATGCAAATTAATTTTCTACACAGTATTAAAAAAAAGCTTTTAATATCACCAAGTCAAAGACCATATACAGATCAATTATAAATTATAATTAGTTAATACACAGTATTAAAAAAAAAGCTTTTGATATATACTTTTACATATCAATTATAATTAGTTGATACACAACATTAATTATATTAATAAAATATTCAATACATTTAATAAAAATATTACTTCTTTCTCCTACACATTTTACATCAATAGCTTTAATTGGTTGAATATAATTTTTCTATAGAGATTTTCACAATCTCTCTCATGTTTTCTCTATTTTAGCATAGAAGATAACATAGCTATTGAAGCAACAAAAAATGTTTATTTTCTCTATTTTAACATAGCTGTTGTAGATGCTCTTAATTATTTGAGATATAAAAATTAAAAATTTCATAATACTCCACATAAAATAAAAAATAGGAAACTAATTACACCTCTATACATTACTAAATATAACTCTACTTAGTATTTTTTTTTCTCTTTATACACATCAAAATCAAAACTCAAATTTTTTACATTTTCAATATATGAATTAACTTGATTTTGGAGGGTGTTTGAGATGCTTATTTGAAACAATTTATGTTTTTTTACAAAAGTCCATGTTAACTTATTATAAGTTAGAATGACGTAATTTCTTTAAAAACTACTTATTAACAGTTTGACACCGATATAAAATATTTATCCAAACACTCAAAAAATACTTATTATCAATATCAAATCTAAATAAGTCAATAAATTGTTTTTATAAAGAATCCAAATAAAAATCCGTTATAAAAATAAAAAAAAGGGTGGGCTATGGAGGGACAAAAAGGAGCTAATGGACCAATAGTAAGGAGTAGGAGTAGGAGAGTGACAGTGGCATTGTCGTTATTAGACTTAAAAAGTAGGGGCAAGTGCTAATTTCACATGCCTCGTCTTGAAAGAGGGACAACATATAGAATCCAAGAAGGCACGTGACTGAAACCCAATCATGACACCCCATCATCTCACGCGCCTCAACCGCGCGTCACCAACACACAAATATACTCAAACAAAAAAGTGTTGCCTCCAACCATCGCATAAAAAGTCGCGCGGCAAATGTCATTGCAAAAAACTATTTACTTTTCGTCCAAACACTACCTTTACCAAAATACTATTCAGGTTTGAGTAGGGAGAGAAATATGAAAACTATATCGAGGTTTTATCATAATACCTTGATATTAAAATTTTACAGCAAAAAAAAAAAAAACCACATCTTATGGGTTTCACGAAAATATACTGGTTTCATGAATCCAACCCTTCTTTCATATACATACAAATATTAATATCAAGAATTATTTTATATATTTTAAATGCATGATTTAATCAAATGTTGACATAAAAAAGGGAATGCATATAACATTCTTATAAACACTACCACAATCGAGTTACATTTAAGGGTGTTTGATTCAGATAAAAGAATGAAAATGGATTTCCATTCACCTCAGTTTAGCCTGAAATAAAAATTGTTGCATACGATACTGTTTTGTTAAATTACAATCTTACCATGTAAGTAAATGATAGTGTTAAATTACCGATAAACGCTTACCGGATAAATGTTTGTAAATGGCCCCTTAGTTAAAAATGAAATACAAATTGCACTACTGATTTTGTAATTTTAGTGGTGTCAATTATGTAAAGAGAAAGAAGTATTTAATAAAAATATGCAAGTACAGATGGGAGCATGGCATGGCATGGGATGGATGGGGCACAAAAGCATATCGACTTATCATCTAATTATTAAAGAAAAGGGTTGGGTAGCAACACTTAAATTGATGTAACTGGTTCAATTGTACAAATGATTGAAACTACAATTATAATGTACTATTTAAGTTGCAATTATTTATGTTTGAATTCATTCATCATTGGAATCATTGCTATTTTTTACATACTATATATATATATATATATATTCATTTATAGCTAGAATTTAATGTAATGATTAATATATATCTGTTTTTTGTAATATACTCGTTCACAATGTGAACCTTTTTGGAGTGTTTGTGAAACAAAAAGTACACGTAAATAAGTTTCACACTGTGAACTAAATACATATAGTCCAAAAGTGACTAAAAAAATAAACTTGGTTGGAGAGATTGCAATAAAACGACTCATTACCAGATATTACTAGGTAATAAATTGGAGTATCAAACTCATTTCCAATTTTCCATTTACCTGTGATGGATTTGTAAGAGTCTCTACATCGACCAATTCTCCTTCATATATGTTTGAACTTCATTTCTCTCTTCAAGGGCTCTTTTGAAGAGTATCTAATGGGTTCCACATACTCTTTCATGGTATCAGAGCCAAAGTCTACTACTCTAGAGACTCGACACCTTGGGGCAATCTGTACTAGCCTGGCCCCCTTTGGGAAAATAAGTGCCCATCTAGCTCCGGTGAGGGGGCGTGTAAGAGTCCTACATCAACTACACTTGGACAATTCACCTCTGTATATGTTGGAGGTACTCTTACAATGGCATGCTATGCTATTCTACCCATAAATATAATCAAACCCCAGGATTCATACAACAAAAGGGTTGTAAATTATTGCATATATATTGGGAAACGAATGTCTTATTTTGCATGAACTAATTCTTAGAAATGGGAGTTTAAATATCAGTCGATTTCGAGAACAACTTTACCAGGTATTATCTTGGTGTCTTTAGCATCGTGTGCCTCTCGAACTTGTGTAATTGGGAATGTCTTTTGTACAGGTACCTTCAGCTTCCCAGCTTCAGTCAGCCTGCGAATCTCGTCTAGACCTTCTGCATCCGTCCTCATGTATGTCCACCAATATTCTGAAAGGAACAGGCATTAATGGGCACGGCATAATTGGATTTGTGTCGGGACTAAATAGATGCAAACAACTTCCCTAAAGTTAATGATGCTGCCCATACAATTAGATCAGCTCTGCTTTGATTCAATCAAGTATTGAAATAGAGTTAAAGGAGAGAAAAATGAAGTTAAAAAGGAATTGACTGATCGTAACCAAGGGTGCACAATGACGGGCAAACGAAAGGCAACTTTTCGAAGAAGGGTTGGAGCATCTTCAACAGATTCCCCGAAATGGAGATTTTAGAATTTTTAACCTATTTTTTTTGGTCTAAGAGATCCTTCAAAGGAGAGAGGATAAAATTCTCCAAATTTGGAGAACCCTTCAAAATAAAATGATGAAGTGAGAAAAATGATTTTCTTATTGTTCACATTAATGAAATTGAACATATCATCATTTCAAATAAAAAAATTGGAAAATTTCTTGGGATATTAAATCTATTGAATAGTTTAATAATATAATTAATGTTGAAATCTCCAAACATGAAGAAACTGCTAGAGCGTGTTTGGTACCGGATGGAGGAGAGTGAGGTAGGCGGGTGAAAGAATTATGGAAGGTTTTAGGGTTTTAATATGACATGGGTAGTTTAGTAATTCGCCAAACTTGTTCATCTAACTGATTTTTGTTCCACATATTTTGGTGGAACAAAATAATGCATCTTTATTCCACTCTTTCCTGTTCTGTCCCAGTATAATTGTCGTACCAAACATGGGACAACAAGTTTTTGTTATGTCCTATCAAACGCACCCTTAGAGTTGAATGTGATTTTTCTTTTCTTGCAGATATTAGTTTTTGCTTCTCCATTTTGGAGAAATTATAGAGCATCTCTTGGAGATGCTCTTATACCCTAGACTAAGTAAGACGTCTCCTTGGAACTCAACCCCAAAATTTATGGACAGCAAAAAAAGAATGTCCAGCTAAGAAATTGAAATGCGAGAGCATTGCTAAAATTGTAGGACATGCTACCCGCTTACTATAAATGCGATGATTGAGAAGAAGCAAACATAAGCTAGTTTCTTTGTTCAGACTTGAACTCAGAAAAGTAATCGTACCTAGAGATGCACAGGGCCCGGGTTTTTTCAAGCCTGGGCCCAGTCCTTCCAAGTTTGTTTCCAGTAAGCAAAAAAAGGTCCGGGCTTTTATAGGCCTGGCCAGGCCGGGCTTTGGGGTTGGAAAAGAGGCCCAATCGGGTTTTTCAGGCCTGGTTTTTTGGGCTTCTCGAGCTTAATCGGGCTTATACAGGCCTTCCCAGGTCGGGCTTTTTGCCACCAAAATTTCAGCCTCATCAGGCTTTAAGACCGGGCTTCAGGCTTGGTTTGTTTTGTGCATTTCTAATCTCATCCGGGTATGATGCTTCATAAGAGTTTTACCTATTCCATGAGAATATCGATATTGAAGTTGTTTCTTCAGCAAAATGGCGGTGGCTGTAGGAAGGCCAACAGCCAGACCGTACCTATCAGCCAATGACGCAGACTCCCCCTATAGCAAAAATAAACACACGTCAACTGCGAGAAGAATAATTCTAAGATCCACTATTCACAAAATAGTTAAGAAGCTGGCATATGCTACCTGCAGTGTCATGTAATGTCCGCCTCTTTTTAACAAATTGATGCCCAGTCGTTCCGTTGGGTCTATACCAATTGTGTCTAATACAGCATTGTATTGCCCTTTCAAGATCACTTCCAGATCCTGTGATCATAAACCAGTGCACATGAGAGCACGGCCTAAAGGCACCCTACCGATGACCTATCAACAAGTACTCTCTTTGTCCCAAAATAAATGTCCACAATAAAAGGCACACGTTTTTTAAAATGTGTATTTATTACACTTTTTAATTAAGGGGCTATTTACTAAACACTTACAATAGACGCTCACACTTTTTACCGGTTAAATAAACACTTATCGCCTCTTACATAGATGATCGTCTTAACGAGAATCTTACAGTGCCATTTTGCTATCCGAAAATCTTACCTGGTAAGTGAGGGTGGTGACTCTTACCCGGTTAACGCTCGGGTAAGAGACTTTTTTTTTTAAGTATATAATATATTTTATATACGGCAAATGCAACAAATAAACTCAAACACCCTCCTCACCATTGGTGAGGTTTGAACCCCGACCTCCTAGGAGGTGAAAGACTCAGATACCGCTAGGCCAAAGCCCTTGTAAGTGAGGGTGGTCATCGTTACCTGGTAAGTGCTTAGTGGGTTTATGTTGGTAAACGACCCCTAAGTAAATGACAATTTTAACCTTAGTAATAGAGAGAGTAACGGATTTTCTCCCTCATAATTAAAGGTAGAATTGCAAAGCAGACACTTATTTCGGGACAAACTAAAATATAAATGTAGACACTTATTTTTGGACGGAGGGAGTAATACTTAAGATGTTATTATGTCAGAGAATATACTGCTTAAAATTACATCACCTCAGCGGTATAGTCGACTGCCTGTTCGGCACCAGCTGCCAAAAGACGATCTATGCTTTCTCTTTCACATGTAGCTGAAACCGCACAACCTGCTGCAACGGCTAGCTGAACTGCAGAGTAACCTACAGCTCCTCCTCCACCCACCACTAGTACCCTCTGTCTGTGGACATTCTAATTATAAAAGTATTGTGCAAAATACATGGTAAAATTTGCCAAAGATAGCAATATGGCTTTCCTTTTGTTTCTACTCCCTCTGTCTTCATGGTTGCTATGTTCTGAACTAATTAAGCATAATCAATTTTAAAAGTAACAAGTGCTTATTGGTGGAAGAAGTTATGAATTTAGGCATACTATAGCTATAGATAATAAAACATGAACTATACCAAATATGCATATTGATTTCTGAAATTTTGGTAACAAAATTTTTTATACCAAATATGGAGAAGGCCTATGATAGCATTTCACGGGACATAATTTGGAGGAGCCTGGAAAAGAGGGGTGCCATGTAGATATGTCTGGGGATTCAGGATAAGTACTGGCGGCTGAGGACTTATGCCAGGACCCCAACGGATGGGACCGAGTATTTCCTGGTAGAGGTAGGGCTACACCAAGGATCGGTACTAAATCCATTCCTATTTGTTGAGATTTTGGATGAGATCTACTAAGAGAGTGTCCCTTGGTGTGTGTTATTTGCAGAAAACATTGCGTTATTTGCACAGTCGAAAGTGGAGGTAAACGAGGGGTTGGAGCAGTAGAGAGCGACATTGGAAACACAAGGCTTAGGCATTTCCAAGGACATGACCTCTGATATAAGTTCTTGAAGACGCAAGATTTGGGGGGGGGGGGGGGGGGGGGGCGCTGTAACTAGCATAGATGGGAGGAGGGGAGCTTGAGAGGTATAGGGTTGGGGTAAGGTTAGTAAGCCGGTAGATATGTTGGTTGTGTCATTGTCTTACCTTTGCTATGAACCCAACCAGTGAAGCATACATAAGGAGTTAGAGGAAAGCAAGCAATAAAAAAAGAAAGATTTCACGTGTTTCTTTACACCTACTTCTGTTTATATGGGGTTGCTTCCTTTTTCAGATTTCGACATATCTTACTTTCTGGTCTCAAGTTCTTCACTTTCGATTTCTTCTCCCTTTTCAAATTCTTCAGAACGTTTGGGAAATTTTCTTTTTCACACACTTTTCGCAAGTCAGGGGTCTTCACGGAAACAATCACTCTACTATTTCTGGTAGAGAACAGGTGTGCGTACATCCCCCCCAAAAAAAAACCCCACCTCCGGGTAGGATATATTGGGCTCTTTTGGTTTGGTTTGGTTATACAACAGTCAAACAGCATGGGCAGGACAGGAAGAGAGAATGGTTGAGCTTCACAAATAGATTAGGGTGTTATTCTCTCATGCTGTCGGGTTTAACTTTGGGTTATACATTCGCCATTGGAAGTTACAAATAAAATTTTAAATTAAATCATCTATATGATAATTGCAGGCACCAAATGAAAGGTTATCTCCACTAATCCTATATCATATAATCCATACATGAATTTTTCTGTTTATTTGTAATCACATATTCCATTAGTGAACTCACATAAGGAATTACTTCATCCTCTTAAGTCTGAAGATATTACAGTGCTTATGAAGTCAAGATATTAAGTTAAAGTGTGTAATGACAAACAACAAGACCATGTTATTGCCACCAACCAAGAAGTTGGCAACAAAGTGCCATAAACGTACCCCTTACTTATCCTTGCAGTACTTTTAAGAGCACGCCATGCTGTCAGAGCAGCAAAAGGAATTGCGCATGCTTCCTGCAGGTTAACAAAAGTAACATACATTTATGCACCATGATCATTACCTTAAAAGATATGCAATTAACCAAATAGATAGCTCATAAATTCTACTAATGGATGAAGCCAAAATGATGCAACACTTCTTTATATATTTTGAAGCAAGCATGAAAGCACATCTAACATGGTATTGTTTGCAAGCTTGAAATTATTCTCTCAGGCTTCGTAAAATTTATCAATTCACTATAGTGAGGATATACATGAAGAAGAGAAACAAGAAGATATAGGTCGATGATAAGAGTTTCAGTACAGTTTCTTGATGTCCAATAACTACAATACATACCACGTGCGAGATTGTCGATGGTTTTGGTGTAAGCTGATCTTCTGCAAGAATAGCATAATCAGCATAAGTACCTCTCACAGCTGTTGGATGCAGCGCACCAAAAACTTCCTGCCCAACATTAAGAGTCTGAACAGACCCTCCAACTGCAGCAACTTCACCACTAACATCACGGCCCAAAACCAATGGAAGAAGCGATTCAAATAGGGAACGGCCATAGCCTGCTCGCATCTGAAAAAAATATGGAACATATACAGCTGAACAAACGCCACCGCTGAGTTCATTTGAGATAATCGAGTGAAGAGGCTACAAGTTAAAATTTCCAAACTTCATGGACAAAAAGAAGTGTAACTGCATACCTAATCATATACAATGCCACATACTAATGTAAAAGGCATGCTGGAAGATAACTTATGCTACCAAAAGGCCATAGGCCTAGCGCCTAGCGGTACCTAGTAACCCAACCTTCTTTGAGATCGTGGGTTCAAGCCTCACCAAAGGTGAAGAGTGTGCGGGGGTTGATTTGCTTTTCTGGAACTGTATAATGATCATTGTACAGTATTTACTATATACTTCAAGAAAAAGATAAAAATGATGCTCATGGAATTACTTTTCTGCAACTGTATAATGATAATTGTAAGGTTTTGCTTAATGCCTAGCCTCTCCATGAGAGGATTGTTTGTTTGCTCAGGCTTTTTGATGGATACCTCACTTTTCTTTGGGATAGTTTCAGTTCCCTCTGGCGATGAAACTATTTCCTGATTGAAAGAAAAGCATCAACTGGAATAGGATACCGGAAGAGATCCTCCTGACTAAAGAAAGACATTCTAACACTGGGAAGAAAGCTTTGTTCACTAGTTCCGGAAATAGATCCTATTTATGGTGTCTTATACTAATGATGAGATATTGCTTAAGCGAGAAAGCATAGAGAAACTAAGCTAGCTGTCAAACCCATCTACAACGACAAAGCACTTTTGCATGTGATTCTTAACCTAGAGCCCTGTAACTGTGAAAAGTATGCCAGTGAGCCCTCTAGTTCTGTGATGCAAGAACTCATTCCTGCAAGTAACCTATAAATTAGGTATTTTACATCAAAAATTGGTTCTAGGAAATGCTCAATCCAAAAACAGAGATAAAAAGTTATAAATAAGTTAAAAATCGATGAACCAGTATAAGAGGGCACAAGGAAATAACAAATTCATGCACTCAATCATATTGCCGAATTAGTTTAAACGGGGGAAAATGAAACCAAAATTACACAGTTGCCAAGCGTTCCAGAGTCTCATCTAAACCTTCACCAAATTTTCGTTTGCACAGATTCTGTAAAGTGGATACGAATTGGGCGATGAAGGTATTAGTTTAACCACATAAATGTAGTTATTAAAGCTTTATTAAACTAGTAAAATCCTCTTGACAGACGTCTCTATTTTATCCAAAATCTACAGCAGGATACCTAAAGTTCACATGATGAACACTTTGTTGACTTGTTATGAACTTCCACATCAACAAATCAATCAAAATTGAGAAAAATCCATACATTTGCGCCTAACCTTCTACGAATTTCGACAGCACAAACAGTGGTGAAGCTAAGCACAATCTAAAAGCCGACTCCATCTTACTGAGTTCTATTCCCGATAAACAAACAATGAAACGACACCAAAATTAACAAAATAAATCACAACTCACCCTTGTATCGAGAGGATTAACCGAAACGGCGCGAGCTCGAACGAGTACCTCATTCGGCTTAAGATCAGGAACACGGACATTATCTCGTACTTCAAGAACACCAGCACCACCGAACCGCGGCAAAACCACCGCTCTACAGCTCGTGACAATATTCCTAATACCAAAACCTAACCTGTGTGAAGAATAACACGTGCCTTGGATAGAACCAACCGTTGTTGAAATTTTGAGCTGCTTAAATCGCAATAACGACCGCATCGTGTAATTGTTTCGACGAATGATCGGAAATTCAGAGGTGTATAGAAGAAATCAATGAAGAAATTCAGTATGTGAGAGAGAATTGGAGAGGGGTGGAGGAGGGAGGTGGTGGTGGGTGGCGGTGGACGTGTCTCCGTTTGTATCCGCAGAGGATGTTAAGGTCCATTGCAACTGCATCTATTTCATGCCTCCTTTTTAATTTTCAGATTTATGTTTCTTTCAATTAATTTCCCCAATTATTCATTTTATCTTTTTTTCAACTTTCGTCCATTTCTTTCCTTTTTTAGTAACCATCATGTTTGTGTAACCAAAAACCCGGTTCGGGTTTTAATTTTGTAGATTAATATAAGAAAAAGTCTAAAAAAATTCAATGAACTTGCGAGCTACTCGAGATCGACTCGGCTCAAACTCGAACTCGACTCGATTTATTAACGAGTCGAGTCGAGTCGAGCGACCCAATACTCGACTCAAAAATCCCGTGAGATACTATATTTTTTTTATCTATGATTAGTTTTAAAAAAATAATCAGTTCATCACTTTGCTTTCAGTAATTGCGTTTTGCACATTCAGTTGGTTAATGTCCCATATTGTACTGTTTAACTTGAAAATCTGTAACTTTGTTTGCTTTGAGACGGTGAGACCGTATGGCACTAAAAACCAAAAATACATTGATCCAACTGACATTACAAAACCCCTTTAGCAACAATATGGTTTCAAAGCTGGAATGTATTATATAAATGGGTAGTTATCATCAATATGATGACATACTTATAATACATATGGCTACAAATTTACAACAAACACTACATTAATCATGCGATAAAATAGCGTCATTATAATAAGAACTATAATTAGGGATTTAAGATTGACGTTAACAAAAAAAAAACATACCTATATATACTTATATATATATATATATATATGTGTGTGTGTGTGGAGTATTCAAATGAGTGGAGAAAAAAGATTGAGAACGTAAGAACTCGAAAAAAAATATGGATGAAAAAAACATAATATAAATGTCATAAAATATTATTTTTTTTGTATAATTTGTTTGAATTAAATTTTGATTAGTGAATTACATTTTTGGTCCCTTGTCTATACCTGATTTTTGGTTTTCGTCCCTTCCAACCGTAAATTACACTTGTGGTCCAAAATTTCATGTTTCGGGTCCTAAATTAATCCCTGACGCTAACACCATTAGTTTAGAGTCCGTTAAATGAGTCACATGCCCCTCACTTGAGGGCTATTTTGGTCTTTTTACATATCTGCATCCTTCACCTCCTTCGACTTCAATTTAAGAACCCTAAATTGATTAACCCAGATTCACCACCACCTACCTCCACCCTCTATAGAGCCACAAGGAGTGTGGAGGGGTGCAAAGAAGGGCTTTGTTCGAGAGGGATGGGGCCCTATTTCATCGGAGTTACGAGGAGGGGAAAGTGGTTCAAAGATGCGTCAATCGAGAGGTATGGGAAAGTGGTTCAAATATGGTGACACACAACAAATTGATACAGTGACGCTTCTCACAACCCTATAATTTTTTACACTATGATGAAGAAATGAAATGATGACCCATACCACCATATACACTAAACAAGGGTGGTGTCTAATTGGTTTAGACTTGAGCTCCAAAGGTCAAAAGTACTTGAAGGTCCCAAGTTCAAATCCAATGAGAAATAAAAATCCTCTTGTGGTCACAGAAGTTTGAATATGGTGACTCCAGACTACCCACAAAGCAGTTGGTCATCCTAGAAATAGTCTGTTAGGATTGAAAATGCATGTTTCCATCAGATTTTACACCAAATTTTATAAATTTATGACATACTTTTCGAATCTTTTAACAGATTGCAAGTTATACAGAGTAGTCATGCATACATGCATACATACATGCATACATACATATACATACATAAACATGCATACATGAGAGTTACTTGTTGTCTAAACAGGCAACTATTATGCACAATGTAATTTTGTTGTCTAGTGTTTTGGTAGTACTCGTGGATTTTTCATAGTTCTAATCATGTACAATGCATATATGTAAACAAGTTTGAATATGCTTCTTGACTATTTAAGAATTGACAAGAGCATGACAAAACCATGTATCTGTACTACATATATGTAAACAGGTTAATATTAGACTGTTTCTATGTGTATATATAGTTACATATTATATTTAACCAAAAAATGATATCTAAAAGCTCAAAATAAGTACATATAATCATATATTATACTAAATCGTAGTTTTTGAGTCTGTTTTCAAGTACAGGAGGAAGGAACTTAAATGATGAACATTATCAAAAATTCTAATTCATTAATTAGTAAAAGGAAATTTTCTAGAATAAGATTCTTTGATGATCAATTTGTGATAAATCAGAGCCACCGAATACAAATCAGTCAATCATGTAACCAAAAGCAAACCTAATTTTACATTATAAACATAACAAGGCAAACCAAGTAGTAGAAATGAAAATGAAGATACGAAGACAAACTCAAAGTCGCTTATGATGAATCCTCGAGCCCTAAACCAAAGTCGCCTACTGTAACTCGATGAATCCACAAGCCCTAAACCGAAGTCGCCTACCATAACTCGATGAATCTTCAAGCCCTAAATCGAACATATGAGACAAATTGAACTCTCACTCTTAACCATAGATGGACTTAGAAATATTTTCAAGTGATGACACCATCTAACAGTAAGAAACATATATAAATATTTTTCTCAAAATCAACATTACTCTGGTGGTTAGTTCATTGCTTTTTTCTATGTAAAGTCATGTGTTCAAGTCTTTTATTGCAAGTTTCTTTGGAAACATAATAAATCTGAAATTAAAAGCTAAATACTAAAAAAATGACACTAACAATACTCGAATTCAGGTTTAGGATGGGAGAAAAAGTCTTGCAAACCAACTTTACCAAGGCAAATTTGTGTCTTCGTTATAGTTCCAAAATATTATATGGTGACACACAACAAATTGATACAATGACGCTTCTCACAACCCTATAATTTCTTACACTATGATGAAGAAATGAAACGATGACCCATACCACCATATACACTAAACATGGGTGGTGCCTAATTGGTTTGAACTTGGTCTTCAAAGGTCAAAAGTACTTGAAGGTCACATATTCAAATCCAAGGAGAAATAAAAATCTTCTTGTGGTCACGAAAGTTCAAATACGGTTAGGGCTGTAAACGAACCGAACGAACATGAACAGGGGCTTGTTCATGTTCGTTCGTTTAACTTAACCGAACAAACGAACAAACACGAATTGTAAACGAACAAAAATCTTTGTGTTCGTGTTCGTTCGTTTAAAAATCAGGTGTGTTCGTGTTTATTTATGTTCGTTCATTAACATACTAAATGAACGTAAATGAACAAGCCTAAACGAACATAAACGAACATGTCTAAATGAACATAAACGAACAAGTCTAAACGAACATAAATAAACGAACACTATTACTTATCGTTCAATTAACTATTACAAAACAATCACCATTCATTAATCATCATCATTTGAACAAAAAAAAAATTCACCATCATCATTTGACAAAAGTGAAAGGGTAAAAATTTCAAATAAGACAAAATGATGATAAAATTTAAATCTAAACAAATTCTAAAAAATTAAAACTTAAATAAATATTATTTGAATTCAAACTAAATAAATAAAATATTATATATTAAATTTAATATATAAACGAACATAAACGAACGAACGTAAACAAACATAAATGAACGAACGTAAATGGAATGTTTACGAACATAAATGAACGAACCAGACTTTTGTTCATGTTTGTTCATTTAACTATTTGTAATCATGTTCGTTCATTTATTAAATAAACGAATATAAACAAACTTACCGTCGAACGATTCACGAACTGTTCGTTGAACGTTCGATTCATTTACAGCCCTAAATATGATGACTTCAGACTACCCACAAAACAGATGATTATCCTGAAATTAGTCGTTTTGGTTGAGAATGCCTGTTTCCATCAAATTTTACACCAATTTATGATTACTTTTTGAATCACTTTACAGATTGCAAGTTCTACCGAGTAGTGAAGTCTGTATATCCGACGTGTGTTCCATTTCATGTAGAGTCTCGACACGGCATGCATATTCTCTGAACCATGCTTCCACTTAACACATTTAAATGTCCTACGTGTACCCAACCGTTACAATCTCCTTCTCCACGTGTAACCCTAAAATCCACTATAAATACATCACCATCACCATCACCATCACCATCACGCAATGTCAAAGCAGGCAATGTCAAAGCTAATAGTTGTCGCCTTCACCATCGTCACACTCCTAGCCTTCGGTTCTGCCCACAGGACCATCGTCACCACCACCATCGAAGATGACACCTTTGACACCAACCCCAGCTCCAAAAAAGAATTTTGTATGCAACATCTCCGGGACCAACAACTCCTGCAATGCCAGAATTACCTGCAACAGCCGGATCAGACCCCTTCCGGACTGCCAAACCCACAGCAGCAGCAAGCCCTCCAACAATGCTGCCAAGAGCTACGAAACGTCGACGAACAGTGCGTGTGTAAGGCCGTGAAACAGGTGTTCGGAGAAGTCCAACAACAGCAACAACAGCAACAACAACAACAACAACAGCAGCAACAACAACCTTTTGGTTCCCAACAGTTGAAACAAAAGGCTGAAAACCTCCCTAACATTTGCAACGTCCAAACCAGAAAACAATGCAATATTAAAACCGGCAAACAATGCCGGAGTCAGGTCCAGGGACGAGAGTTCAACCGGTGCCAAAAGTACTTGAAACAACAGTCCGGCTCCGGCTCCGGCTACCTGAGGACGGTCGTTTCGTTGGAGAAACAGCCGCAAGAAGTGGAACAGTGCTGTGAAGAGCTTCGAAATGTGGACGTKGAATGCCAGTGTGAGGCGATGAAGGAAGTGTATAGCCAAGCTCAGAAGGAGCAGCAGCGGCCGGAGATGGGGCAGTTGGGAAGGATGGTTCAGAATCTGAAGAACCAATGTAACTTAGATGTGGAACAGTGCCAAATTCCATCTTGGATGTTCTAAGTAAGGTAGCTTGATGGTTCAGTGGAGACGATGATAAATAAAGCTAGATAGGGATAGGTCGTATCTCTAGTCCATGTTAATGGCTTTGAGATGGGATTAGTTTCCCAAGCTATTGATCATCTATGAATAAATAAAATGAGTTTTTAGTTCAAATGAACCTAGATATTTAACCCGTTAGTCAAAATGATTAATCTTGAGACGATCATTTGTTTTGTAAATAGCTTAGGGTCACTGTATTTGATCTTTGGGGAATTTTTTATTTTTAATTGTATTTGAACATGAGATTTTCAGACATTTTTTTTATCTTTGAACAAAATTCATTAATTTTGACCAATTTATGAGAAAGATATATAGTCTAATGCTTAAACATGTTAATTTGTTATCATGTAACTCTTAATTGAAGTTTGGTTCTTAATGGTTTTAAAACTTTTTAGTGGTTTTAACCTTGTGAATAATTTTATGTCATGGGTTTTTCATTGTTAAATAATTATATTTTATTTTGTATTATATCACGAGAGTCTCTTAATTATTCTGATCATTTAATCATTCTACATCAAACCATTGAGCAATTGTCAAACAACTTTTAAATATTGTTTTAAATAATTTAAATTGGAATTAATTAGAAACAATTTAATTGGGTTAAAATTAATAGTATAATAATGTAATTTATCAAGTTTTTCCGAAAATAAAAACATGTTGGTATAATTTCTAAATTAAAGTGGATATATAACTTTTGGAGGATTTGAAAATTTATGCAATAACAATTAAAAGGAATATTATGTATAATAAAGAGTATAATGGGTTTCTATCCTTGATTTCTTTAAGGAAAATTCAGATGCATAACCTAATTTTTACATATAAGAGGCATTTATTTTATTGATCGAGCATGACAAAACTCGAGAGAATCTTACCTGCTAAGAGGCATGTACATGACTGGTAACTTTAACCGATAAGTGTTTAACATGTGTCACTTATTTTAAAAGGTTGTTTGGCAGTTGCTGAATGATTTGTGTTGAATGATTAAGTGATTAGAATGATTAAAATGCTCTCATGATATAGTTCAAAATGAAATATAATTGTTTGATAAGTGTTTACAATGAAATTAGGGCGTTGAATGGTTAAGGGAGATCTAAGATACAAAATCATTCAGAAGGTTTTAGAACCATTAAGAGGCAGACTCATTTTTCGCCAAACAAGATTCATTTTTTAACGATTCAAATACTGCCTCTTTAATGAAACTATTAAGAGGTAAACAAACAACCCTTTAAAAAAAAGTCTGTCTTAATTTTCACAATTCTAAAACCATCTGAATGATTTTGTATCATGAGTCTCTCTTAACCATTCAACACCTTAATTTTATTATAAACAATTATCAAACAATTATATTTTATTTTACACTATATCATAAAAATCTCTTAATTATTTTGATCACTTAATTAGTCTATATTAAACCATTCAACCACCAACAACAGAAATTTATGTTGATTAACCTATACCAATAAACCACCATAATCTCAACCATGCTTCCACTTGCTACATGTAAAACTCCTACGTGTAGCTCAAATTTTCAACACCTATACAATCCACTGCTCCACGTGTAACCCTAAAATCCACCATAAATACCCACCTCCACCATCATCATCCTACAATGGCAAAGCGAATAGTTCTCGCCTTCACCATTGCCACCCTCCTAGCTTTCGCTTCTGCCCACATAACCATCATCACCACCACCATTGAAGACGACACCTTCGACATCAACCCCAGTTCAATAAAACAACAGTGTAGCCAACATCTCCAGGGCCAACAATTCCGGCAATGCCAGACTTACCTGCAACAGCAACAGTAGGAAGCACTCCAACAGTGCTGCCAAGAGCTCCGACACGTCGACGAACAGTGCGTGTGTAAGGCCGTGAAACATGTTGATATAAGAACACAGAAAAGGATCGATAGAAGAACAAAGTATTTGGTAACCAGGGAACTCTCTTATATTCAAGACTGCTTTTCTGAGTACATGAAAATATGGAGAACAAAACAGGCTTTAGATAGGAAAAAGTATATGAAAAATACTCAACAACCCTAAAGAATAGCATCACCTAAAGAATAGCCTAATCTAACAACAAGACCCATTAGGCAATTTATTTAAAAAAAAAAAAAGAAGAAAAAACTCCACGTGATTTGAGAGCTCCTGGCAATACAGTTTGAATCATTCTTCTTCATCCTCCCTTGATTCAAACTCCATAACTCCCAGCTTGTATCTGAAGTAGACAAACTTCTCTCTGGATAGTGCCTTAGTGCATATGTCTGCAAGTTGTTCATGGGTGCTGCAGTATTCAAGGCTTACCTGCTGCTGTTTAATCATCTCTCTGATGAAGTGATACTTTAACTCAATATGCTTAGAACGATTATGCATAACATGATTTTTGGATAAGTTGATGGCAGACTTATTATCACAATAAATCACAGTGGGCTCACTTTGTCTAAACCCAAGATCCTCAAGAACTCTACGAAGCCAGATTGCTTGACAAGTAGCACCAGTAGCTGAGATATACTCTGCTTCAGTACTTGATAGAGCTACAGTGTGCTGCTTCTTTGAACTCCAAGCAACAGCACCACTRCCTAGTGAGAAAACGTATGCTGAGAGGCTCTTTCGATCATCAACACAACTGGCCCAGTCACTATCACTGTATCCCACCAACCTGATCCCTGCAGACTGCTTATACCATATTCCMAAGCTCATAGTACTGCCAATATACTTTAGAATTCTGCGAGCAGCTCCATAATGAATTTTGGAAGGCTGATGCATAAATCGTGAAACCAGACTTACTGCATAGGTCAAATCTGGCCTAGTGTGAGTCAAGTAAATAAGCCCTCCTACCAAACTTCTGAATGCCTCCTCATTAACTTTATCTGCTCCATCATTGAGCAGAAGTTTCTCATTGCAATTCATGGGAGTATTCTCTTCCCTGCAGTTGCTCATTCCAAATCGAGATAACAGGTTTTGGGCATACTTTTCCTGACAAAGATAGATTCCTTTGTTGGTCTGCATTACTTCAAGACCCAAAAAATACTTCAACAAACCCATATCAGTCATTTCAAAGGTCAGCTTCATTCCCTGCTTGAACTCACTGATCAAGTTATCACAAGAGGATGTGCAGATGATATCATCTACATATAAACACACATAAATGACATCATCTGTATTATTCCTTTTGATGTATAAAGTAGGCTCATTGTGACTCCTTTTATAACCATTCTCCATGAAGTACCCATCAATCTTTGCATACCAAGCGCGTGGAGCCTGCTTTAGTCCATACAAGGCTTTATTTAGTTTGTAAACCATGTCAGCCTTTCCTCGAACAACAAAACCTTCTGGCTGTTCGACATATATTTCTTCAGACAGATCACCGTTTAGGAAGGCTGACTTCACATCTAGTTGATGAACAAACCACCCCATCTGAGCTGCTACAGCAAGAACTACTCGTATGGTTTCAAATCGAGCAATTGGAGCAAACGTCTCTTGAAAATCAATACCTTGTTGTTGAGAGTAACCCTTGGCCACTAGCCTTGCTTTGTGCTTTACTACTTCACCATTAGCTCCAAGTTTGGTTTTGAATAACCATTTAACTCCTACTTTGTTTTTGCCCGGCGGAAGAGAGACCAACTGCCAGGTTTGATTTTTTTTCAATGGCCAACAATTCTGCATGCATTGCTTCTTGCCACTTCTTGTGTTGAGAGGCTTCATTGTACGTGAGTGGGTCAGAAACAGTAAGAGCAAATTGACAAGAAGCAATCTCGCCTTCTTCTTCAGACAACCCTTCTCCACTATGATAATCTTTAAGCCATGATGGAGGATTAATTGTTCTTCTCAAAGGACCAGATGCATGTGTAGATGTGAAGGTAGTAGTACGGGGCTGGTGGATTGTAGTCATTGGAGTAGGAGTTGACTCAATTGTAGTAGGRGAAGTACTAGTATCATTAGGCATAGTACTAGGAGTTGACTCAATTGTAGTAGGAAAAGTACTAGTATCATTAGACATAGTACTAGAAGATATGATAGGTGATTCATCAGGAAATGGGTCAATAAAGATATAGGAGTGGTTGAGTGTTGCTTTCTCTTGGCCCCACACCCACTTWGAATCTTCAAGAAAGATTACATCTCTTTTGGTAGAGATCTTTTTTGTGTCAGGGTTGTACAATCTGTACCCATGGCTTTGACTTGAGTAGCCAATAAAAATATTTTTTTCAGACTTGTTGTCTAACTTTTTTTTCAGCTGAGAAGGAATTAAGCCATATGCAACACAACCAAAGACTTTTAAGTGAGAGACAGTAGGTTTTTTACCTGTCCATGCTTCATATGGAGTCYGATTTACAAGAGCTTTAGTAGGTGACCGATTAAGTACATAGATGGCAGTAGCAGCAGCTTCAGCCCAAAGGAAATTAGGTAGCTCTYTTTCCTGCARCATGCTTCTTGTTAAGTTCATGACCGTTCGATTCTTTCTTTCCACTACACCGTTATGCTGAGGGGTGTAGGGAATGGTAAGTTCTCTTTTGATTCCAGCTTTTTCACAGTAGGAATTAAATTCTTGTGAACAAAATTCGCCCCCCGGTCTGAGCGAAGGACTTTGATGAAGCACCCACTTTCTTTTTCAACCATTACTTTAAAGATTTTGAATTTATCAAATGCTTCATGCTTATTAGCCAAGAAGTAGACCCAACATATTCGAGTTAGATCATCAATAAAAAGCAGGAAGTACAAGCTGTCACCTAGGCTTGGGACTTGCATAGGTCCACACAAGTCTGTGTGAATCAACTCCAGTTTATTTTTTGCATGCCACGATGTGGACTGAAAGGGATACCTTGCTTGTTTACCTGTGATGCAAGCTTCACAGATTACAGATGTTCTGAGTTTAGGCAGCCCCCACACCATCTTCTTGTTGTATAGATGTTTTAGCCCTTCAAAGTGCAGGTGGCCAAATCTGCAATGCCATCGAAGTGCTTCATCATCAAATTTGGAGATGAGAGCATGAGTTGAAGTCAKCCTTGCATCGAAAATAAACATGTTGTTATTTGCCACTGCAACCTTCATCACAATCTTTCCTGTTATTTTGCTCCTGATTACACACATATCATCATCAAATTGTAGTGAATAACCATTCTTCATGAGTTGCCCAACAMTGAGAAGGTTGTATTCAAGCTTGGGGGMATAATAGACATTGTCTAGTATCTTGAATGTACTGTCACTTGTATAAATCTTGACAGTCCCTTTTCCTTTAACAGCCACTTTCTTTTTGTCACCCAATCGCACTTCCAAATGGAATGACTCATCCATGCTCACAAAGTTGTCTTTGATTCCKGTCATATGATTTGAACAACCAGAGTCAATGAACCACAAGTGATTAAAGTTGTTGGATTTACCAGTGTTGGTCACTAGCATGTATTGATCATCTAGAACAAACTCTTGTGGTGAGATGACAGCCAGTAACARATGTTGATCATCTGTTTCTGCCGCTTCTCCATTTTCTTCATTTTCTGCTACATTGACTTGATTTTCATTGTTATACCAGCAATCCTTTTTAAAGTGACCAAATTTTTTGCAGACATAGCATTGAGGGACCTTGCTTCTGTCAAAGCTGCCCCTTCCACGACCKGCTCCTCTTCCTCTAAAGCCTCGATCCCGTCCTCTTCCACGTGAGAATTTGTTAGGACCTTGAACTACCTGAAGAGCCTGCTCATCTTGTCGATCAGGTGTCTTAAGTGGTTTATCAAGAGAGGCTCGACTGTTGATTCTTTCCTCTTGTGATTGTAGAAGTCCCATAAGTTTAACGGGGGTGACATCGGCCAGATCAAACATCACTTCGATGGATGGTATTACATAGTCAAACTTAGGAGACAAACTCCTAAGAACTTTCTCAACAATCTTCTGATCTGTAAGTTCTTCTCCGTATGATCGTTGCTGACCAACATTATTCATAACACGAGAGAAGTAGTCACCTACTGCCTCGTCATCTTTCATAGATAGATTTTCAAACACCCTCCGTAATCCTTGCAACTTAATTGATTGGACTTGAGAATCACCCTGAAATTCTATTCGAAGAATTTCCCATGTATTCTTTGCAGAGTCGGCTGCCGCAATTCTGGAAAACAGGMTGTCATGTACACCCTGYTGGATGATTGTCATAGCTTGAGCGTCTTTTGTTTTTGCCTCTCTATTATSACCGTCTCTGTTATTTGTTGCTGTGAGACCCAGGTATACAACATCCCACAAATCTCGTGATCGAAGGATAGTTTTCATACGAAGACTCCAGTGTTCATAACCTTCTCCTTTGAATACTGGAATGATCACAGAGGTAGTGTGTGATGTACTTGACTCAGCCATTGAGAGATGAATCAAGAGAAGATGCTAACCTGGCTCTGATACCACAAATGTTGATATAAGAACACAGAAAAGGATCGATAGAAGAACAAAGTATTTGGTAACCAGGGAACTC